CAATCTGTATTTTATTTCCTATTTTCCAACCATCCAAGCGATTTGTATTTTATTTCCTATTTTCCAACCGTCCAAGCAATCTGTATTTTATTTCCTATTTTCCAACCGTCAAAGCAATCTGTATTTTATTTCCTATTTTCCAACCGTCCAAGCAATCTTTATTTTATTTCCTATTTTCCAACTGTCCAAGCAATTTTTTTCCAACTGTCCAAGCAATCTGTATTTTATTTTCTATTTTCCAACTGTATCCACTACCTATATTTCATTATATATTTTTTAACCCTTTATGCAACCTTTATTTTATTTTATTATTCCCAACTGTCTCCATACTAGTCATATTTTATTTTCTATTTTCCAACAATCTACATTAGCTATCATTTTTTTTTTTTTCCTCTTTTCCAACCGTGTACGTAATCTGTATTTTATTTTATTTTTAAAAACTATCTCTATTTGCCGTATCTTATTATCTCTTTTCCAATCGTCTATGCAATCTGTATTTTAGTTTCGTTGTTGTTTCTGCATTAGATTGTTTTTGTTGTTTTTGTTTTTTTAGGAGGTGGGTAATTTTGTTGCTATTCTTTAAAATAAATGTTTAGGGGGTCATTCTCTCTTTTCAAAGTTCAAATCGACACAACATGTATAATTCATTGAAATAAGGGAAAGTAGATGTTGGAAGTTTGCAAGCTTTCGGTGTCACTCGAGCCGGTTTTACTCTATCCTGGTGTCCAGCCCATGTTGTCATACAGACATATTATTTGATCGTACTTTCTAATTTGTTTTGTCAAGCGTTCGTTTTATTAGGAGCCCACTGGAGAGTAATAATAATATGTTATATGTGTTACAACATGGTACATATTTGTATCCCTGTTACCACTTTCAGATTTATGAAAGGATGAAGAAAAAAAAAAAAAAAACCAGGAAAATATCAGTCCAGAAAAAATCTTCTGTTTATAGTCTGTATAAAATAAAAAAAATCATTCAGCACAATTGTCGAGCAAAAAGTTGGAAAGTAAAAATAATATTGTTTTATCAAGTAAAGTTAATTTCATTATGTGG